TAGTCAGATAAACATTTGTTTTAAAATCCTCATTTTTTTAATTTGCGTTTTAAACCATGAAATTTTGCCGGGTTTGTTTTTTTTTTTTACCCCACTCCCTTTTTAAAACCCAAAAAACTTAATTCATATGGGAATATTCATGATGAAGGGCACCCAATTTTTATTTTGTACTTTTATATTATAAAATGGAAAAATTTTTCTTTTTGTCGCAAAGAAATTAAAGAAATCAAACCTTTTCAAAACCCGAAGGGAAAATTTTTCAACAATTTTGAAAGTGATTTTTTTTTAAAAAAAAATCCCAACTAAATTTTTTTTTCCCCAAAGCCCCTTTTCATTTGTTTTTTATTAAGTTTTAAATTTTGCTTTTAAGTACTTTTAAAAAGGGTTAAAAAGTAAATCCCTCACCCCTGTCTAGGGGTAAGGGATGATTAATTCCTCATAAACAGATAAATAAAAACTAAAATCTGAAAATTTTTTCATGAAATTTAAATGTTGGGGGATCACCCTTTCCGAGGGATCACCCTTTTCCAGTTTTTTTATATAATTAATAGGTTCAATAAAGATCTTCTTTGTGAGGGAAAAGGGACCAAAATAAAAAGTTTTTTGCCTATTTACCGCCCATGGGCAGGTACCCGGGAGGGAAATATTTTCGATCTAAACCCGGCAGGGTATTGTCAGATATTTTTTGGGTGCATTTTTCCAAAAAATTTTATTTAAATTACAAAAAGGGATTACCTTTCCCAGCAAGATATTTTGTTCTTTAAAGGGGTTCTTTTAAATTTCCATTTTTTAAAATAAGGAAAATTTTTAAATTTTTTTTAAAAAAAGGGCGAACGGAGGGAATTTTAAGCAAAAATTTCCCCTTCTAACTACGCAAAAATTTGAGGGCCCTTTTTAAACGCCAGTACTTTTCTTTAAAATGCTCAAAAAGGGCCCCCTTTAAAAAACCCCTTTGTAAAGCCGCGACTCATTTTCCCCGGGCCCCAGAATGAAAAAAAAAAGGCATTTTTTTTAAAACTAACGGAAACCCTGACTTTGAAAGAATAATGATATTGTCTAATTTAAAGGGTTTTGGGATGGGAATACCCGTTTTGGGGTCCCAAGGGGCCCTTTGGCGGAAAGGGGGTTTGCCGTGTTACCCCTATAGTGGGTACCCGAGGGCGGATATTTCATCCAAACCGCCAAACTTTGTGTCAGATATTTTTTCTTGCTTTTTCGTCATATTTTTTTCTATTTTTTCATTTTTTAAATAATTTTCCCTTTAAAAAATTTATTTTTTTTTAAATTAAAATTAATGTTTTTTTTCCAATAGCTTTTGATTTTTTTACCATTTTGGGTTTTTTGGTTTTTTTTTTGTTTTGGTTTTAAAAATTTTTTTTTGGGACAGAAAATCGAGTGGGGGCAGGGTTTTCGGGCCGACCAAAGAAAAATTTACCAAAAATTTTCCCATCCGAAATATCTTTTTGTTGTTAAAAAAGGGGGTGTAATTTGGGGAAAATTAAATTTTTATTGTCAAGCCCCATTTGATGTCTTTTTCCCCCTGAAATTTTTTATTTTTTTATGGTTTAACTTTAAAAATGATTTTTGCAATTTTTGACTTATAGGGTCGTGTGGTTCCGCCAAATTTGGCGAGTTTCGAACCCGTTTTTTTAAATATATAAATTTTTATACTTTTATAAAGTTTTTTTCTTTAGAAATTTTTTTTTTTAACCCCTATCCCAACATTTTCCCCGGTTCCTGTGGTTTTGGAATAGGGGGCTTTGGGTTTTTTCACATTTGGGGCCCTGAAGGGGGGGGGGGAAATATACAAAAAATCATTGATACTTCTTTTTAAAAATAAAAAAATAAAAAAATAAAATACGGGAAGGGAAAAAAGAAATTTTTTAATAGCCCCCAAAAAAGGTATTTTTTTTTTTTGTTTTGTTTTTTTTTTAATAAGGGCAAAAAGACAAAGGGAAATTGCTTTTGGGGAACAACCCCTGGGCTTATTTTTTTCATAATAACTTTTATCCAAAGGGACTGGGGGAAGGGCCCCGAATAGAGCGATTGGGGCTTATCTTTTTGTTCCCTCGTCAAAAAAAAGATTTTTGTAGGGAATGAGCAACATTTAAACAACATTTTTGTGAGGAAAATAAAAAAAAAATTTTAAAAGGTTTTCCTTAAATGTCTTGAAAAGGGAAAAATTAAATTTATTGAAATAATAGGTTGATACCATGGGATTAAAAATTTACAATGAAGAAGGTACAATAAAACTAGTTTTAAAATTTATTCAAACAACAACAAGGGAAAACAAAAAAACACCCCTCTAAAGTAGAAAAAAATAAATTTTAAAATTTCAAAGATAGTGAAGAAAAATTTTAAAAAGGGGTTTTAAATTTAGAAAAAATAAAAATAAGAAAAAAAAATTTTTGAAAAACCCTAGTTTAATATTTTTTTTTTATTTTAAAATAAGTATAAAAATAAAACAAAAGATATTTGAAAAAGGGTTTAACTTTTTTGGGAATTTAATTGTATAATCCTTCCCTTAAAAAAAATTTTTTCTGACCTTTCATAAAAAAATTCATTTTTTTTTGTTTTTTTAATTTAAAAAAATTTTTATTTTTACTATTTGGCAATGTTAAATTAGTTTTTACTTTTTTTTCTTTTAGTCAAAATGCATTAGTCGTGAGAAAAAAGGGACGGACCTATCTTAAAGATACATAATGCTTAAATTTGATATTTGAAAAAAAATGATAATTTTCTTATATACAGTCTCCTTTTAAAATGTAACCTAAACATTTTTTGAATAAAGAAAAATTTTTTTTTACGTTTTAAGCTCTACACACATTTCTTGTAATCACCGTATGATTACATACGTGTCATTAAATAACGCTGGCAGTTTTTATAAGGATAGACCAACTTAATTTGTTAAAATTAATAGGAATGCAGCTTCCTAAACATAGTTTAAAAATTCACTTTTTAAAATTAGACATATTCAGGAATGGAATGAACTAGATTTCAAAGAAAAAAAAAAAAAAAAAAAATAGATTCTGCAATAAATGTTTTTTTATTTTTTTATTTTTGAGCATAGCCTTTCTGTATGCTCATTCTAACATCGGCCCAATATCTTTGCAAATCGGATATTTCCGGAAACTCTTTTAAAAAAAAAATATCTTGAGCATTAGATTATTTACAATCACTCATTCTTCATCGCTATGTACTAAATTGCGATAATAAACGGTTAAAAATTATTGAATACCGAATATTGTGAAAAATATGTTCGGGAAATGACTGATTTTTTTACGATATATGTTAGCCGATGTTAGATTTTTTTGGCGGGGCAGCATTACAGTATAACTTTAATATAATTCATTACTTTTCTACACTAAAATTACCAAATTACCATTAAACATATTTCGAGTATTTCAAAAGTAGGCTATCCTGTTCGATAATAACACGATAAGATAAATCATAATGATGATCGAATCAACAAACAAACAAATTGATTAAGAGAAGAGCCACACAAACCCCCCCCCCCCCAAAAAAAAAAAAAAAAAAAAAATCACCATCTATACACACGCACGCACGCACACGCACACAATAAAATAGAATAATTGTAATAATTAACAAACTTTACTTGTAACCAAAATTTCCACTTGAACAAGTGCGATTCATGCATGTATAAAAACAAACTTTCAAATCAAGTTCTGCTGCTATCTTTACGATACGTGTATATAGAAAATATTTGATCAAATTTGCATCGGACTGATCAATATTACATTTATTGCAGTACGTTGATTTTCAATAAACAGTCACATATATCATCTCCATCAAGTTAATAGTTACTGCATTTGGCGTGTTTCGAATCGATTGAGTATTCCCTCAATATTTTTAATTCTGTTGCTTATATTTTGTACAGCATACTCTAAAGTTTGCCGACAACTTTCCGGTTTGTGGGTTTTACTTGCAGATATCTTTCTTTTAATTAGCGTAACCAAGACCCATGTAGTTATTATTTGTTGTCGCCCTCTTCTGTCCATCACCGCTTGCTTCCCCATTTATACTTTGTACCAGTGACTTCAACAGGGCGGAGCGCAAATTCTGTTCCTCATAGAAACCAAAAAGCATTTTTATAGCCATTAAGTGTTTTTATTCCTGGGCGAAGCCGAAGTTTTCTGACGTCCATTTTGTTATCATGTGATATTTAAGTATTCTTTTTGATTGGCTAAATGCAGGCGGTGTACAGGTAGAACTGTTCAAATCTTGTTAATTGTTTATATCGCCGTCTAGGAACGGCGATGAAAATTTTTTTGTCATTGTGTTACGAATTACTTTCGATCAGTTGTCGTTGTCACTGTCGAGGAACTGTCGTGTTCGACCAAATGCCATATTCGACAAACTATCGTACTCGACGAGATGTCTTTCGACGAAATCTCGTACACCGCCAAAAACAACGTTGCATGTATTGGTGAATTTTGAAACTCTTTTATACATGAAGGAAAATATCATTATAGCATCAATATGTAAATGATTTTTATCAGGTTTTTATGATGATGATAAAAATATGAGATAATTTTTTTATTAGGCATATGATATGTTGGGAATGACCCTGAACTTGGTGGCAATTGGATACTTTTATTGTTTCAGTACGTAATGGATATAGAGGATGATTGATTTATTCATGTGTATAACCAAGCATTAAATGTGAAATGATTTCTCTTTTTTAATAAGCAAAACATTAACAAAGTGGTATTTTGTTTTGCAAAAAGCAAAAATGACTAAATCATTATAACTTCACGAATTAAAAAAAAGATATACGACCAATCAGTACTTTGGAAACTGAAACAAACATTTTAATGTATTAAAAAAAAGCATTTGAGTTATATAGAGTAAAAAAAAACTTATTTTGGGATTGAATGGGCCTCAAAATTAAATAGCTTTTATAATGTAATATTTCCACTGTTGGTTTGTCATGTTATTTTAGGATCCAGATATTAAAGAAAAGAAAAAAAGAGAGTCACTTACATTGTTTGGAGTTGCATGTCCAACATTTAGTTCATGGTCAACATCTATGATGGAACCTACAAATGTGAAATGACAAACTTAAAACAAGCATGGGTTGTCATTGTTTTTATTAAATTGATGTAGAATAAACATAATTATGCTATTCACATTTATTAAAGTTTAGAAATAAAAGCACTGAAAGTCAACATATCAGAACGTAATGAAATGACGAATTCTGCGACTTTGTTCTTATGTAAACTGATATTAAAAATGTATTTTTAAACTAACCATCATCAAAATTAAAATAATAAAATGCAAGTACCTGGCACAAAGGCGGGTATGGTAATTGCTGGGCCTCGTTTTGATGTACCATTTATATTTCTTGCTTTTATAGTGAACAGATAACTCGTGTTACACAGTATAAAAGAACAGCCATACGTCACTTCCGCCGTCCAGTCCTCTTTGATTATATGATTGGCAGGTGGTAATGCTGTGAACTCACCGTGCAGCCCTTTCATTGGTCCGTTCTGATTCTCCGCTTTTATTGGCTGAAAGAATTAGAACAACAATCAGCAAACTATGGCACATTTAGGTCAGTACCGTTGAAGCAAACTAAATTAGAAAAGACCGACAGGGCCATTTTAATTTCATAAATTCCCGATTTCATCTTCATGAATTCACAATTTTAACTTCGTGAATTCGCGCTTTCAACATAGGACATTCACGAATTCACGATTTCAGCTTCATGAATTCCCGATTTCAACGTCATGAAGTCTGGCGAGCATAATATTGTTTTATTCAACGAATTCAATAAATTCAGTATTGAACTTACACGAATTTAATATTTTATTTATCACATACCAAAATAAAGACCGTTTAAAGATTTTTAAGAGTTTAAAGAGTCCCTTTTCATTGACGCTCCTACAGTTTAGCGCGTCTTTACACTATGTTACTTTGTATAACCCAAATGACGTCACGACAAAATATATGCACGATCTTGCAATACCATTTTTACGGAGTCGCAAAATAGGCACGGGTGTGTGATAATATTATATGTTATTTTGGTTTTGCAGTGATATATGTGGATATATTACCTGCTAAGATTTTATATCACCCGAGCCGTTACCCTTCCCCTGCCGAGTTTAGACGATTTTTTAAAAAATCATTGCTGTTTCAAATGAAACGTCGAAATAAGATTCCCTTTAGGGTACCTCTTCATCACAACATGAAGTCACATAAATACATGACGTATTTTTCCCGTACCTAACGAATGTAAACAAGTGAAAAGGAGAAGTCTATTGAAAGCACTTTTTGTAATTAATATCAAGCTTTCACAAGGTCATAATTGTTTTCAATAATGATGGGAATTTGTATCATTACTCTACTTTCACCGAGTCCAATCGTTCACTATGTTTCCCAGGCGGAGAACGCATGAAGAGATCAATTTTACAGGTGAAAAACCGATACTGTTGGTTAAGAAAATTGTCTTCAATTTCTTTGAAAATGCATATTTCACAAAACTTTATAGCTTTTTCTGATCTCGTATGATTACTTTATCCGACAGGCATCTCAAACTCGCCAAATCTTTGTTAACTTCTTAGATCATTATCGACAACTGCACAAGAAAAGTCACAAAATTGGTAAAATCGCTGTTTTGATAGCCATAACTTGACATCGAAGCAAATCTTCTAAACATTTGTATCGCTCTAAAGGTTCTTTATTAACATATCCTCATCCACCAAAAGCCTGTTCTATTTTCTATTCCGTATTTTTGGAGAACAAATATCGTTTTAAGCGAATTTTCAAAAATGAACGCATGAGCCGAACTTTTCATGTGGTTTTCATAGGTTTGCAAAATGAACGCATGAGCAGGTGGTATTTTTAAAACTCCAGTTTTTCCTAATTATCTAACAAAAATTTAACATATTCAAACTTTAAAATTTCAAATTTTATTCCAAATAAGTGAGAAGACACTTATTTTTACAAATTAAAATATACTTTGTACGCTGTATATACATGTATATATATGCTAATAAGCAAAAGTACGAGGTCTGTTGGGAAAGATCGTAATTCCTCGTTTGTAATATTTGCAAAAGCAGTGGTTAAGACGACAAAGAAAAGCATAATAGTTTCTCGAAAACCTGTAAACGATTGTAGCATTGATGTAATTTCATGAATTTCTCATATACATGTTATTTTGTACAATTATTTCTTCCCTGTTTTTATAGTATGAGCATATGAAAATATATCATACACGAATCACGTTTAAAAATTCAACATTTCGATATAATTTTCCTTTTTAAACGACGAATTACAAGTTTATAGAATATGTTTACGTAAGCCAAGTAAATCTGGGTAGTGTATCGTGCTATATGTCGTCCAATTCAAAGCTATTGGTAAAGGTACAAATCATTGATAACTAAAGTAAAGCCAATTTAATGCGAAATTTATGTAGCATGTCGACATGCTTATGATTTGGTAAGAAATAATTATTGCACTGTGCAAATTGTCTTAATAAGAATAACACATATTATTAGCTTTAATGAACAACCTCTAATTGAATAACTTAAACAAATGAATATTGTTTAATACATAAAACGGAGAGATAACTAAGTCTTGTCATGTTGAATAAAATCAACAACTGACGACATTTAGCTGATTTATATAATAATCTTACATGATACTTTGGAAAAATCCTTGATTTTTGCACGTATTGGAAATGATTGTTTTACAAAATATGTACATTGATAATTAAATCATGAATCCTGAATAATTGTATACAATAACAATCATACATGCATAATATTAAACAACAAATACAACAAAGGACAAATGACAAATAAAAGTCCCTGTACCTCAAAACTTTAATAGTCTAATATGGTAAACCTGATACTCAAATAAAGAATTACCAATATTACAAATCTTACATAGATATTATCAAATTTAACAAGTTCTGTAAATAAAGGGAGGTAATTAGAAACACATTTTGATAAATACTTTGCCTATTCTTCATTAAAATAAAAAGTGTATTATTTCTAAAAGAAAAACTAATAAAGAACCTAAAAAAATTTGTGTTATTTCAACGTTTTCTTGTATGTTCATTTTGTTTAAAGAAGGTGATATATATATTCTTGCTTAAAGATTCTGTATGTTATAATTAAGGATGTAACATCCTTGCGAAAGTTGTATATAAAGTCAGTTCTTGTGAAAAACATATACATGTACTTAAGAAGTTAACATTATTAAACCACATTGAGGTAAAAAGGTTGTGAAATTTTTATTTGAATGCAAAACTGATTTTTTTTACCAAAAACATATTTCTAATTATCTCCTTTTATCATCGGACATTTTAAATTTTGGCAATATCCTTAACAAAAAGGTTTTCTGTAACTTTTAACATTGTTAATTCTTTATTTAAGCCAAAGATTTTTCATATAAGAACATAAAATTTTGAGTCACAGGATCTTTAACCCATTACTTCATATACACGCCTTTAACGCCTTTTTCACTCCCCCCCTTTTTTGTTGTCTCAAATGATGAAAAAAATGCCTTATTTAGGCCCCAAACACTTGTTTTTGTTTGAGAAATGTTGTTAAAAAAGTGACCTCTTTTTCGGCGCGGCCCCCCAACCAAGAGATACATCAGGGGGTTGCCAGAAGGGGGATGTGCCCCCTTCTGTTTGGGGGGTTTGAAGGGGGCGGATTCCCCCTCATCGCCAAGAAAAATTTTGGACTTGTGAGAGGCTGTAAATGACCCCAGATTGATCATAAGGTAATGTGTAACCAACGCTGAAAAGCATTTGACTCTATCTCAATCCATTGAGAAGTTGCAGCACTTTGAAATCAATTTTGATGGAAAAAATCAACGCAAAATAGTGATTTTTGGCAATTTTGAGATGTCCCCTCGTTGCCATGGTAACAGAAAATTTAAGCCTGAGCATAATGTTGCAAGGGCAATTGTCCAGTCACATTTGTGCCAAGTTTGATTAGTGTTGAAGCAGTTTTTATAGTATTATAGCAATTTGAACTTGTAACGGGAGACTTTTCAATGAAAACAGCCATTTTTCACAAAATGCTCATGAAGTAATGGGTTAAGTGTATGTTACATCTTTAATTAAAACATACAGGAAATTTAAGTCCCATCAACCAATGATGTTGTATTTTGCAAATATTTTACTCAAAGTTTTAGCAATGAGGATTTATTATATTTCCACAGAACTGAACAGACCTTCATCTATTGCTTATAAGCAATTCGTCATAAGGTATGAAAATAGGGACTTCTGTTTGCTCAAACATTTTGGAACGAAAATTTTGGAATTAAAAGGTTCAGTGATCGATAACATGTGAGATATCCATGAAAACTGGAGTAACCAAAACATCCGCCTGCTCATGCGTTCATTTTGCAATCTGATGAAACCACATGAAAAGTTCGGCTCATGCGTTCATTTTGAAAATTCGCTTAAACGATATTATACTCCAAAAATACGGAATAGAAATAAAACAGGCTTTTGGTGGATGAGGATATGTTAATAAAGAACCTTTAGAGCGATAATCTTGAATGTTTAAAAGTTTGCTTGGATGTCAAATTATTGGCTATCAAACAGCGATTTTACAAATTTTGTGACTTTTCTTGTGCAGTTGTCGATAATGATCTAATAAATTAACAAAGATTTGGCGAGTTTGAGATGCCTGTCGGATAAAGTAATCATACGAGATCAGAATAGGCTATAAAGTTTTGTGAAATATGCATTTTCAAAGAAATTGAAGACAATTTTCTTACCACAGTATCGGTTTTCCACCTGTAAAATTGATCTCTTCATGCGTTCTCCGCCTGGGAAACATAGTGAACGATTGGACTCGGTGACTTTGGTAAATATTTATCATTAGACAGTTAATCAAAGGGCTGCAAGCTCTGTGGTATTTTCTGATCTTTGCAATCTAAATCATACTATCTGTATGTATTTTCCTATATAGGTTTATTTTTATAGACTATAATTCATCTTACGCGGCGACTGCGTTAAGATTTTTTTTCTATAACAGTTTGAGATTGATACATATGGAATTTTACATGACTAGAGTTGCATCAAAAATCATTTTTTTATGACAGCCACACTTTATCCTTGCATATCGTGGCTACTTCCTTAAAAAAGACACACAGCCACACTTTATCCTTGCATATCGTGGCTACTTCCTTAAAAAAGACACTTCAAAAAAAGTTGCCTCGACTAGGATTTGAACCTTAGGCCTCTCACACCCTAAATGAGCGCGATACGAGCGCGACTCCCCTGCACCACGGTGAAGTAAGAAGTAATATGTAGCCTGAATAAAAACAAATACATTGTAATTCTAAATTGAGAATTTCCATTCAGTGTTTGTAATCCTTATCAATTTCGAGGTATTTTGTTCACGATAAACCTGTTAAACACTGATAAAAATAATTTAGCGAAAATCTTCTCGCCAAAACAGTCCGACATGTATATATTCAACTACTCGGCAGTCAGATTTATTTGTATACTACGCCCTGGAGTATTCAGTAATCGACATAGCCAAAATAGCATTTTCATTGATTAAAATGATATTCATCCGCGAAATTTGTGATTGTAACTTCATATTTCTATTGACTAATCTGAACTTTCAATGCACTGTAATTCGTTAAATGCCTACATTAAAAATTAGTCTGTCTTTTAAATTGCTGGTTTTTAAGCAGTTTTGAGTGAGAACTACTTTGCGTTGTTAGGTCTGTTAGGAAATTTTGTGTTAGACCGTGGATGTTAGCCATGTATTTACTGATCTTGCGATCAGAAAATACAAAAAGTGCTTGTAAATCGGAATTCACACCGCGTAAAATCGAACCGTACGCGCATCACCTCAGCGCATATCGTTTACAACGTTGGGTACCCAACGGGGAAATTTAGTGTGTATATTACCCGTCTGGCTCGGTTATACCAATTTCTTTCGGGTGATCAATATCCAATCAAAAAGGCGGAAAAAATCTGGAAGGGTAATAAAATATAATGTAACTATAATGTTTGCTTTTACTTCTACTAATTATATTATTTTATATATAAGAATATAGTAAGACAAGTTCATGATAGTATTTTTGTTACCTTCCAAAACAAACACACCAGTCTTTTTTGTCCTCCATCTTCACATTCTCTTTGGTCCCACCTGTAGTCTGTAACATCGGGACTTGCACTTGGAACTACTCATGTCACAATTTAAGATAATGACAATGAATTATAAGTTTGCTTTGAAATAGTTATAGTACATGAAACGAGTTAGTTACGAGGATGTAACACTGGCGGGGACGACATTATATAAATAACACATGGGTTTGTGGGTAACAGTAAAAATATCATCCCGAGGAAAATACTGTATTTTTACGAGGGATGATATTTTTACTGTTACTCCCAAACCCATGTGTTATTTATTTTATTACCCCGAACAAAAATACTGCGATGATCTGAAATTGTCAACTAAATCTAACTGTAACAAAAACAGTAACTAAACTGTCCTTACCTTTTAAGTTTTAAGTGTACTTTAGGCGTACTTCAGAAGTTTTCTTTTTCTTTTAATCTTTAAGCAAGTGATGATATCTACAAATCATAAACATACAATAAGCTAGGTTTTATTTAGAAAACAAAACACTAACCCATTTACACGGTTATGATCTGTGAAATCTGATCCTTCTGTTTCCAGAATATTCTTAGCATGGTTCTTGACAAAATAACGATGATATCCTATGTCTGTCCACCATATCTGTAACGTTTCACTGATTAAAATTGTAAAATAATCCTTTGTTGCATGCTTAAATCGTCTGCATGTTCCAGTTTGACACATAATTATTTACATTGCAATTAAACCCGTTGAAAACGGATGTTCACTTTTTGACTATTCAACAAAAAGATATTTTATACGCGAAAAGCACGCGAGGTTGCAAACAACTTAATTTTATGAGTGTCATAGTTACTCCATAGAAGTAATTGATGTCCTATCGGGGTTTAACGTTGAAAATAAGAATGAATCGAGAGAAAAAATGGCGGCCATTTCATTTCATTTTATATTGAAAATAGACCACGTGACCAGATTTTATACTGTTAGAAAATACTGTTACCTATGTAACAGTACCAAATTCTTAGTCACGTTGTAAACTTGCATTAACAGTAAAAATAACTCCCAGAGGCCTATGGGAAATTAGCATTACGAAAAAAGTGAGGGGTAATAACAAGGGATGTTTCTGCTAAAAGAATGGCGAGGCCGTTAGGTAATAGGGCCACCCGAGGAAAGTTACTAAGACATTGGTAAGAAATAAAAAGCTAAATAGTAGAAGTCTATTCGCACAAGTTGCCTTGACCTTGTGAAATTAAAATCTAGACCATCATAATGATTTAAAATATGAAATACACGAGTTACTAAGTAAGGACTGTATGAGCAACAGTCCGTGCCCGAGTGGTTAAGGCCGTTGACTTCAAACCACCTGCCCCTCACCGCTGTGGGTTCGAATCCCTACAGGGACTTTGGATTCTTTCATATGATGAAATTATCCAGCTAGCGTACGGAACGTCAGTGGCTCTACTCGAGTGCCCGCTCGTGCCTGAAATAATGCACGGAAGCGCACCTAAGGGTTTCCTCCACGCGTCCGGATGGAACGAAGCCATATGACCTACCCTGTGTCTGTGTGACTGAAAACCCAAAAGTCAAACAGACAAACAAACAAACTTACTGTCGGAATAAGTCGTGGACTTATGTATAACAGGTTCGCTATAGTACCCCGAGTAAACACCAGTAGGTCTAATGCGAACGCTAAAACTGTATGCTGTGTATGGATGCAGACCACAAAACGTATGTGTGTGTTCAAATTGTTCGCTGTCCATTGTCGTCGTTAGCGTGTTGTTCTGAAATGTGAAATATAAGTTTGCTAAAGGCACATGATGCCTCAAAAATGCTATCATTTGTTTTCTCAAAACCTTTCTTTTTAATTTTGTTATCTTGTTACAGTTTCAAAAAAAAAATCTCAAAAATACTCATTTCTTTCATGTATACTTAGGAAATAGATATCAATTCTGAGTGCATTGTTGTAGAATAATGCACGGTTTGAGTTCAAATGCGTAGTAATATAATCACGAAGGCCGATAGGCCTGAGTGATTAATTACAAAGCATTTGAACGAAAAACGTGCATTATTATACAATAATGCACGAAGAATTGATATCTATTTCCATTCTAACACGTCAAGAAAAAATATAATTATTATATAAACGTTGGACTTCAAGTTTGGTGGTTGAATTTGTTTTCACCTCAGAGTTTCCAATAGAAACGTTTCTTTAAAGGCTGTTCCAGTGGGTTGAAAAAAAAAATGTCGTTAAATCTAACGTGTGTAGAAACATTTTGAAATTAACGAATTTTGAAAACGTTGATACAACTTTGTTTGTTTATTTATTTCAGTTTATAATTTTCCAAGCGAAATACAAATTATTAAAAGTGAAATAAATGTAAAACTAAACTCGTTTTGCGACATTAAAATAGCGTACTTGATTTGATTGTTTTGCACGTGCTGTTTGGCGCTACATTGTGACGTCACGTAAACAACACTTTAAACGTCTGTACAGCGTTAACGACTGAATTAAAGATATTGGTGTTCGGATTAATTTTCTTAGTTAGACCATTTTCTTTCATTCTAGATAGTTTTCACAACAAAATTCGACAAAAATTGTTTTAATTTATCAGATTTTTTTAAACAAAATGGCGCCTTCAATGTGAAAATACACAGGGAGATAATAAGAACGGCGAGTGCATTGTTGTAGAATAATGCACGCTTCCGGCCTTCTTTGTCTATTGGCCTATAGAAAAAATTCCGATAGTGTTAGAATATGTAATTTATCACGTTCCTTTCTCAAGGTTTATGAGTAACACTACTCTCATGAGAAATTACAAGTATTCAGTTAATATGGCTTCTTCAATGTAAAGTTGACTATAACATACAGTTTCATGAACTATTACGTACAGTTACATGAACTATAACGTACAATTACATAAACTATTACGTACAGTTAATTGGATTATTACGTACAGTTTCAAGAACTATTACGTTCAGTTACATGAACTATTACGTACATTTACGTAAACTATAACGTACAGTTAAGTGGATTATAACGTACAGTTTCATGGACTCTTACGTACAGTTACGTGGATTATTACGTACAGTTACCTGGACTATTATGTACAGTTACGTAGACTATTACGTACAGTTACATGGACTATAACGTACAGTTACATTGACTATAACGTACAGTGATATGAACTGTTCCATACAGTTACATAAACTATTACGTACAATTACATAAACTATATCCTACAGTTACATGGATTATTACATACAGTTGCATGGACTGTAACGTACAGTTATTTGGACTATTGCGTACAGTTACATGGACTATACCGTACAGTTACATGGACTATTACGAGCATGTAGTTACATTGACTATTACGTACAGTTAAATGGCCTTTAACGTCCAGTAACATATTTGCATGGACTATTACGTACAGTTACATTAACTATTACGTACAGTTACATAGAGTATTACGTACATTTACATGGACTATAACATACAGTTGCATGAACTTTTACGTACAGTTACATTGACTATTACGTACAGTAACATGGACTTTAACGTACAGTTACATAGTTGCTGGACTATTACGTACAGTTACATGGACTATTACGTACAGTTACATGGACTATAACATACAGTTGCATGAACTATTACGTACAGTTACATTGACTATTACGTACAGTAACATGGACTTTAACGTACAGTTACATAGTTGCTGGACTATTACGTACAGTTACATGGACTATTACATACAGTTACATGGACTTTAACGTACAGTAACATAGTTGCATGGACTATTACGTACAGTTACATGGACTATAACGTACAGTGACATAAACTATTACATACAGTTACATGGAGTATTACGTACAGTTTCATGGACTATAACGTACAGTTGCATGGACTATAACGTTCAATTACTTGGACTATTGCGTTCAGTTACATGATCAATTTACATTTACATAGACTATTACGTACAATTTCATGGACTAAAACGTACAGTTACACGAATTATTACGTACAGTTACATAAGATTTTACGTACAGTTATATGGTCTATAACGTACAGTTACATGAACTATTACAAACAGTTACATTAACTATTACGAACAGTTACATGGACTATAACGTACAGTAACATGGACTTTAACGTACAGTTACATAGTTGCTTGACTATTACGTACAGTTACATGGACTATTACGTACAGTTACATGGACTATAACATACAGTTGCATGAACTATTACGTACAGTTACATTGACTATTACATACAGTTACATGGACTTTAACGTACAGTAACATAGTTGCATGGACTATTACGTACAGTTACATGGACTATAACGTACAGTGACATAAACTATTACATACAGTTACATGGAGTATTACGTACAGTCTCATGGACTAAACCGTACAGTTACATGGACTAAAACGTTCAATTACTTGGACTATTGCGTTCAGTTACATGATCAATTTACATTTACATAGACTATTTCGTACAATTTCATGGACTAAAACGTACAGTTACATGAATTATTACGTACAGTTACATAAAATTTTACGTACAGTTATATGGTCTATAACGTACAGTTACATGAACTGTTACAAACAGTTACATTTACTATTACGTACAGTTACATGGACTATAACGTACAGTAACATGGACTATAACGTACAGTGATATGAACTATTAATTACAGTTACATAAACTATTACAAACAATTACATGAACTATGACGTACAATAACATGGACTATTACGTACAGTAACTTGAACTATTACGTACAATTACGTGGACTATTACGTACAGTTTCATGGACTTTAACGTACAGTTACATAGTTGCATGGACTATTACGTACAGTTACATGGACTATTACGTACAGTTACATAAACTATCACGTACAGTTACATGGAGTATTCCGTACAGTTACATGGACTATAACATACAGTTGCATGGTCTATTACGTACACTTACTTGGACTTTTGCGTTCACTTACATGAACAATTACGTGCAGTTACATAGGCTATTACGTACAGTTACATGGACTATTACGTACAATTACATGGACTATTACGTACAATTACATAGACTATTACGTACAGTTACATGGACTATAACGTACAGTTTCATGAAGAATTACGTACAGTTACATGGACTATTACGAACAGTTACATGGACTATTGCATACAATTACATGGACTATTACGTACAATTACATAGACTATTACGTACAGTTACATGGACTATAACGTACAGTTTCATGAAGAATTACGTACAGTTACACGGACTATTACGTACAGTAACCTGGACAATTGTATAACGTACAGTATTATGGACTATTGCGTACATGTCCATTGACTATTATGCACAGTTACATGAGCTATCACGTACAGTAACATGGTCTATTATGTACAGTAACATGGACATTACGTACACTTAGATTGACTATAACGTACAGTTGCATGGACTTTAACGTACAGTTACATAGTTGCATGGACTATTACGTACAGTTACATTGACTATTACGTACAGTTACATAAACTATTACGTACAGTTACACAGACTATTACGTACAGTTACATGGACTATTACGTACAATTACATGGACTATTGCGTTCACTTACATGAACAATTACGTGCAGTTACACAGACTATTACGTACAGTTACATGGACTATTACGTACAATTACATTGACTTTTACGTACAATTACATAGACTATTACGTACAATTACATGGACTATAACGTTCAGTTTCATGAAGATTTACGTACAATTACATGGACTTTTACGAACAGTTACATGGACTATTGCGTACAATTACACGGACTATTACGTACAGTAATATAGACTATTGCGTACATGTCCATTGACTATTATGCACAGTTACATGAGCTATCACGTACAGTAACATGGACTATTATGTACAGTAACATGGACATTACGTACACTTAGATGGACTATAACGTACAGTTGCATGCACTTTTACGTACAAGTGCATGAACTTTATCGAACAGTTACATGGACTATAACGTACAGTTACATGGACTATTACATACAGTTACATGGACTATTACATACAGATACATGGACTATATTACGTATAGTAACTTGGACTTTTACATACAATTACATGAACTGTTACGTACAGTTAAATGGACTATAACGTACAGTTACATTGACTATTACTTACAGTTAAATGGACTAAAACGTACAAATTCATGGACTAAATTACGTACAGTTACAGCAACTCCACGACTCGACACTGTAATTAAATGTTCTTTCGGATAAAACGGTCCAGAATTTGCGGCCTTCCATAGCAACGTGATACAAGTACTGCTTATAACGTTAGATCTGATACTGGAAACAGGATCCGGCTTTACTGAAACATACATGAGCCGTGTCACGACAAAACCAACATAATGGGTTTGCGACTCTATGCTGTTCGCTATCCGTTTCTCTACTTGTAATAGAGTTGTAATAGAGTTGGTAAGCGAACAGCATGGATCCTTGTCAGACTGCGCGGATGCGCAGACTTGTCTGGATCTATGCTGGTCGCAAACGCACTGTGTTGGTTTTGTCGTGACGCGGCTCAAATATCGATGTGAAAATTAATTTTAATATGAAACGGATATCAAAACACAGATAATAAAATTATTTGTAGAAATCGACGTGTATATTTAAGGATATATTTAATCTTTTATACTTTTATCATTGCTGAAGTACCTGATGACTCTTCTTCATATTTTTGATGAGTGAGTACGAAAGATGTTCGATTTCCATGTAATCAATATTATTTACATATATCATTTGAATCAGCCCCTTTGAATACAGTCGATACATATGTATTCTCATAATTATTTGTAGAAGTCAAAATATAAACTCTAGGATGTATGTTATATAAATAGTTTTCTAAGAATCAGACGACAAGTGAAATATTTATTGTAGTCATCCCGCCAAAGAAATTCTAACATCGGCCAATATCGTAGAAAATCGGTTATTTCCGGAATGTAATTTTTTACAAAATCCAGGGAATTAGATTAATAATTACAATCACTCTTCCTTTATCGCTATATTCTATATATTTATTATAAACGGTCAAAACTTATTGAATACCGAATATTGTGAAAAATAACGGAAATGACCGATGTTTTACGATATTGGCCGATGTTAGAATTTTTTTTTGGCGGGAAAGCATTACTGTATGTAAAAGGCCAATAAGCCTCCAAAATGCTAATATTTTGATTTGGCAAACTCTTTATAGATTTAGTGTCCAGATTCAGTGGCCAAAAGAAATAGTCATTGACCAAATAGCTAAACCTTATTTAGATTCTTTTGTTGTATTTAAAGTAAATTTAAAGTTAAAAGGTATTTATTATTTTGTATGGAAGTCAAAATATCCCTTCGGTTACATTTTGCATATTTGTTACAAATCACTTGTAATTGCGCGCTTTTTGTTCCGATGATAAGCACAGATGATAAGCATCATAGATTTTTCTAGCACCAGTGTAAAAAGTAGAAAATACTTAAGAAATAACATCTGCCTGAGAGGTGTATATCGGCTATTTAACACCGGTGTGGCGTGAATTTTGTCAGACCCGTGAGAAACGTAAGACTTTACGTTCTGCGCATGCGCAGGTAGTTGTCGGACGGGGCCGTGAGAAATGTAAGACTTTCTGGTACAATTGTGTGTTAACCTCGTTTAGAAGCTCATTAATTAATCCAAGTGTAGTTCTTCCTTTTATTCATGAGCATAGAGATATTTTCTACGATACCAACTTTTATTTATCTGTGACAACGTATCGTGTGGATGAAATATTGTCCAAATCAGTGGCAGTCTTTCGACATCGTTCGTTCCCGATGTCGAGTTGATGGAAAATCCTGGAAAATCGAAGAGCTTTGATCGAGGTAAGCTTGTTTTGATATTTTATATTAGAATGTGGTTATTTCAAGCATCGATGAAAGTATGTTAGTTTTTATTAATGCTTACAGGTACTGTAGGCCATGTCAGTCTGTTTTAAGAAATGGACTTTACACCTCCTGGACGTTTCACCTTTGGTCTTTACACCTCCTGGACGTTTCACCTTTGGTCTTTACACCTCCTAGATGTTTCCGCTACTTTTTTTATAAATAATATTGTATACTGTATGGATTTATATCAGTAAACTTCTTTGACATACCTTAGTTGTTACACCTTAATTGGATTATATTGAGTGATAATTGAGATAACTCAATATCATATAAATTTGCATGATAGACATTGAGAGAATATTTGTTTTTTTGAAATTTATAATTAAGAAATTTTATTTAAAAAATGACATTCTCGTTCAAATAAAATTTACCAAATATGTATCAATATATGAAAAACAGATAAAAACAAAATGATCAGATTTACTATATTTTATTCAGAGTCGATTACTATATCTACAATGTATGCACTATACAATAACATAACATTAAAATAAATACTGTTATTTTCATCATATAATTCTATTTCCTATTTTATAAAAAAAAATAAGAAAATAAAAATGGTATCATATTTTATTCTAAATATTCAACTACCATTTTGTCATCTTCATTTTTTATTTCATATATTTATCAAATTTAAAAAGTGAAGGTGAAAAGACCAGGGTTTTGAGGGTGAAACATCCAGGAGGTGTAAAGTCCAAACACCTGTAGCTCTACCTTTCGTTTCTTAATTTTGTTTTAGCCGACCAGCCAGCCGACATTTGTAGATCTAGGGGTATGGCACACTTAAGTTTACTGATATATTGTCTAATTATATGTATTTGATTTGAATAAGTGTCGGCTCGGCCCTAACATACTCGGCCCCGAGTCAGCTCGGCCCTATTCCAACTCGGCACCTCGGACATAAGATAAGGGGCCTTATCTTATGTCCCAGTCGGCACGGATAAACTCCATAGTCAACTCGGCCCACTTAAAAATTTATTAATCTGATTATCAGTGTTAATATATTGGTTTGTTTTATCACTCTCTGTTGTTGGAACCATATTATTGATATATAGAAAATACATGGTTGATGTCGGGATGGAGAAAGTTTATCTGGTGAGTGAGAAAGTGTATCTTGTGAGCTTTAGCGAACCAAATTCACTTTCGCAGCGAACCGGAAAAACCTTCTC